GAAAAAAAAAAAAAAAAAAAAAAGAATATGCAGAGCTGACTGACTGTGAAGGGAACAAATCAATTGGAGTGAGCAGAATGCGAGCGAGAAGCCCATATGCCAAAGACCAGGAACCAAAAGACGAACAGGATCGCCCAGTAGCGTGCAGGGCCGTACCTGATTCTGGTGAGCACCACCTGCAAGTTCCCAGCCATCAACGGTCGAAGACAAGAAGCAAGATTGCAATAAAAGGAACATATCTGGCGCTGAATATTAAACCTTAAAGACGTGTGACAATATACTCACAAATCTGAAGAAGATGACAACTGTTAATGCACACAGACCACCCAGGAGAATGTGAAGTCCGCTGTTTGCAGTTTTCTGCATGAGTAAACAATTCATCAAGCAGAACCCCGAGAAACAAATATACATAGCTAACATTTGAACTTTTGGTCCAGAAACAAAAAACAATTACTAACGAAATAAAGAAAAAAACGCATACTTTTCCGACACGGGGAGCAATGAGCCAGGCCAGGGTGACGGTGAGTAAACCAGTAGCAAGCAGAATACCTGTACCTTCAACGGCCCATCTAGTAGCACAGCTTTCCACAGGTAAGACATTTTCATTTACAACACCCAAGGGTTGTTCTAAAATGACCTGAGAAGCCGTGGTAGTAGAGTTGTTGTTATTGTTATTGCCCGTGCTGTGAGGGCTAAACCAAGATGAGATCTCACTAAGTCGTTGCCTTCTAATGGCAGCAACTGCATCAGGATCAATCCCTGAACCTGCATTCACTTGAACCGGGTTTGGATCTCCATCAGCTGTTCTTTCTCTTAGTGCAGCATAATCCTTCAAGGCAACAACAACTTTGTTGAAATCAGCAGTCTTTATGTTTTCTGCAACATGTCCACAGATCTCACAAACAGTTGATCCATGGTTGACAAACCATTTGAGTGCACAAGCGTAGTGTACTAATGCAAGATCGCTTTTGCAAGAACATCCAAGTTCAATCAAGGCATCTCGATGCTGCCATGCTCCTGTTTCTATGTCATTAGTGCAAATGAAGACCTCCCCATCAGGGCTTATTATTTCAACAAAGCCAGATTCTCTTCCATTGCTCTTATCCTGGGAATTTTTCTGATCAGCCCCAGGAGTTTTCTTGTCATCAGCAGTTTCGCTTACATTGCTTTTACGACCTTCCTGAACTGGAGGAGTAATACCCAGAAAACCTAAAGCAGCATCTCCCCTTCGGTCAGATTCCACACATTGGCATACACGACATGTTGGCAATCCTGCATCCCTGTCCGAACTGTACCGTGCCTCAACGGCCAATTCCTCTTTCTTGGCGGGTGGACAGCCATTGTTACTGACTCCACAGTTGGTCGTTTCCAACAGATTCTCTTTACCCATCAAACCAAATTGCAAGCTGTTTCTTCGCAAGATCACTAAACCATTTGACTTGGGATAAATTTCTCCAATCAAATCTTTATGGGCCAGTTCCTTGTGAAGTATCTTACTGCATAGATATTTAAAAGGATCATTCCCAATCAGAAACTGATAACTCAGGAACTACATTTCCCCACATACCTAAGGAGCAGATACTCTAGAGGACTCTAGAATTCTGCCACAAGAGAAACAACCTGCAAAACAATGAGAAGCTCCAGAAGATCGTCTTTCCATTCTTCAACTGTGCTCCTGAAAAAGACAAAAGAACAAACAAAGAAAACAGATGTTACAAACAAAATCAAATCATAAAGTTCTCACAAACTGAAGAATAACATTATCCAACTGAAATAACATTATCCAACTGCCTGCAAATACACATATACCAACCCCCAGCATACACAAGAAGTTTGAAATTGGGATTAACTAGGGACTGTAAATAAGTGGTTCCGTACAACTGGACACACTTCCTGCGTAATGGAACTTGCTACCGTAAACTCAGCAAACGACCAACATCAGAACCTACAAGACTTCTTGGAATCCCCAAATCCAAATGAACTGCCAACATCAGATCCTAAGAGACATCTAACTTAGCTTTCATCCGAAAAGATGAAAAATTTTGCCGCGTCAAAGGGTAAATCCTCCGTATTAAGCGTGGCAGATGCACAATCCTTAGCGGGAAAGACGATTATATGCTGACAAGTTATCGGAATCCTAAGTTCAGCGAAGTATCTCACTACAAAGCCAAAAACTGGTATTAAAGGAGAAACAAAGGAGAACCCAAGAAGGGTCAAGAAAACACAAAACAGAGGAAGAACTTGAACCAAATAAGGCAGAATCAATTGTATAAAACCGAACAATTGACGAAGAAGCAGTCCCTCAGAGCTGATTGGGTCATCAATGTATCAGGCACTACTTTTAACCATCATATCGATCATCATCGGGATGCAAAGAATACCTCTGAGAGATAGCGAGGTGTTTGAAAAGGCAAACAAAAAATTACAAGAGTTCCATACCAAGCGACGAGTAATTTCCAACTACAAGCAACAAAGACGTATCATCTATCAGCCGTTCAGCCGACCCATCACTTGTACAAAGAAAAGGGCAGAATTTGATCAGCCAAAAAGAGACCCAAAAAACTCCAAGCTGGAAAAAAACATCACAGATGATGTCTGAAACCACTAGTGTGTTGTTTCGTAGGTTTGCAGAGGAGTGCACCAAACCCAGATTAAAGATATATCACCGATTAATATAAGCAGAACAGCAGCCATTAGCCCAATTTTTTATGATCGAGACAAGGATCCAACAAAAACCCACCAACGAATTAACTAATAGAAAATCAAAGTGAAGACAAAATCACCGCTTACAAAAAATTATGTCACTGGTCATCGTCTAGCCAGAGTAACACAAAATCAGGCAACATTCCTTTTTCAAGTGAACCCAGGAAGAAGAAGAGTCATATTAAGCGGATTTAGAGTTTCTGGGTGAAAGAGTAAACAGATTTGAGGAAAAAACACAAAAGGAAATAGATTCGACGGTGAACGAACCTCCGTGGATTCTGGATTGAAGATCGACTGCTCAGCAGCGATAACTACGAGTCTGTTTCAAGCCAATGGCTCTCGCCGCATTGAAATCTGGAAATCGGGGAATTGGGATTTTGTCAAATCCCTGGGAGATCGCGTTCAGATTTTCCTCGGATGACTGATTTTTTTTTTTTTGTAATCCCCCTTTTTTTCGGTTAGTGAGAGTCCTCCACTTTACCAACCGCTCATCGAGTCTTCCTCTTTTCGCTTTTCTTCTATTTTGTTTCTTTCCCAATAAAAAAAAATACTTTCCTCTTTTTTTTTTTCTTTTTTTTTTGTAACGGCGAACCAGTCCAAAACACGATAAGACAAATCGCAATTTCATGAATCATACCGCATAATAAATGCAACCGGATGTATTTTTGCCTACTCAATAGCGTATCAAATCAAATATATCCAAGTGTTGCTGCTGTAAAACGCAATCGCGATTTCGGCGATTGCAAGACCGCGTTCCAAACGGGAAGACATTACCGATCTCCGTGTCCGTACACAACCACAGGTTTTTCTCAACGTGTTCGAACCTGAGCGCGTCTTTTCGGCAACTTCACACGACCTTGACGCTTCTTAAACATCTGCCACCAATGCAACTTTCTTCTACGGATCTCCAGTTTCGTGGACCGCTTCGGTTTCTTTGAGTTCATCACGTGTTTCATCATCCCTTCCACTAGCGCATGAAAATGGCCCACTTGGCGTTTACGCCTTGTCATTACACCACCTCCTCCTCTTCTGATCTCTGCCTTCCGATTGTGTTTGCGGTGAATCGTCTTTTGCAGTTTCTTCCATGCGGATGATGATGGTTTCTGGTTATGATGGTGGTGGTGATGGTGATGATGATGATGGTGGAAGATCAGTCCTAGTTTGTTCTTGAACCTCTTGAATCTCCCTACTGCGCTTTTCCTCGATCTATATGAATAGTTCGTCTCCTCTGAGCTGTCTTGATGATATTCTGACTCGGCACTCGGTACCGATGATGAGTGAGACTCGGTGTTTGTTTCAGTGGCGTTCTCTGTCTGACTCGTCCAGGTGGAGCCAGAGCTCGAACTCGTGTTCTTATACGATGTTGTCTCCTCCGAATCCTGCTCATCCGAAACGAGTTCATCTTCTGTCCCCCTACTCTTTCTTTCCCGTGGTTCTGTTGGTTCCTCGTCCCAGGAATCAGCTTCTTGATCCAACAATGTCGGTCTTATACTCGTCCTGTGTGCCAGTCTGTTGCTCTGACTCGACCTTCTCAACCCAACAGAACGAGGTGGTAAGGGCGGCCGAGATTTGAACCTCGTCGTCACCGAAGATTCTGCAGGAACAAACTGATTATGGAGAGAAAGAGGCATCATTCGATCGTCGTGATGGATCGGGACTGGCACTGTGGGAGACTCAACTGCCTTCTCCACAGCTCTCACACTACCATAAGCAGTTCTCCAACTAGGCGACGATGCCTGCAAGTTTCTCTCTGGCTGACCCATCATCCGCTGACTAACCGGCATGTTACTGCTCTTTAAGCTGGACACTGAAGTCTGGATGATCTTTCTGTGTTCGGTCCCTTCCTTCTGGTTTGTTATGTGTGCGGGTGTGTCATTGTAGTCATCATACAATGGCCAATGCTTTACGGACGAGTTTTCTTCCGTTGTGGCTACCGAGCTAGGTGGTTTACACATCCATCTTCTAAGGGCATTGTCGTTCTCAGATTCCACACGACGTGAACATAGCCGCAAAGCTGAGATTTGGGTCTCAATCCTCTCAACTGCATCAGCCACTTCCTCTGTCAAATTATAATCAAGGTTACTACTCTGTTCCTGACAAGGCAACTTGACACCTCGAGATACCCCGAATCTTGAGGAGCGAGCAACTGAACTTGCGTTGCTCTCGTTGCGTTGAAGCTGACGGTTTCCTGTTTGGCTCGTCGTAACGTTATTTCCCATCATTCCCTCGTGCTTTTCTTTTGCCTGCAGTGGTCTGCTAATAGATCCGTTGCGTAAAACAAAAGGATCAGACTCCCCAATCCGACATACTTGAGCATTGCTGCCTCCATTGGAACTCATACTGTCAATTTGCTGCTTAAAACTCGGTTGTCCTCGTGGGACTCTACGGCCGATCTCTGATGTGTTTGAGGGAAGACTCATCTGAGATGACTCTGCGGATGCCATCACAGGCATTGGTTCTTCTGAGAATTCTTTATCATATGATGGTCTATAGTTCCAGTCGTTGTTTGAGTTTCTTCTACGACTCCATGAATTCGATACATTTCGTGTATACAATGGCTTCAACTTCTGCAAACCCTTGCTCTGGTCCGCTCTTGATGGAGCTGTCTCTAACAAACTTAATTGTGCTATTGCAAGTATCTGTGACAGATTCAGAGACGATCAAACAGCCAATTACGATCCAGAAAGCTTAAAGATTTCAAGATCCAAAAAAAAATGAAAAATGTCAACAGTGGATTGCCTCGAAAGTGTGACGGAAAAAGGAAACCGAGGTTACCTTTGATTGTCTCTCGAAGAGCTCCTCAGTAGCAGTATCGAGCAAATGCTTCAACAGCATCTGAGTGTCCTGGTCCAACTGCAAAATATCTTCGGTTTGCAAAGTTACATCTCTGGTGATAAAATTCTGTGTTTGGTTCTTATTCTTAGGGTTCAGAAACATGGATTACTGCATTGATCATTGTCTCAAGAGAACTCACCGAACATGTCTCCGATCTATATGCATCAACCGTGTTCGGTTCGAGGAGCCCATATAACCTTCTCAGGGATCTAAGATCTGACTCCACGTTTTCAAGCTCCATCATTCAACTCCGGATCAAAAGCTCTCTATCGTCGTATTCAGTAAGACAACAATTCTGCACCGAGACGAACATGAAACAATAAAACAATGACTTATACGAGACGCAAAATTTGCAACTCCACAGCGATTACCGATTTATACACATCGCAGAGGCAGCCTGATTTCATGGATCCTCAAATTATAACTGATGTCCTTTAAGACAAGAAATCGTCAAAAACGATCAAACAACTAAAACAGGAGAATCTATGGATGAATCCAAAATGTGAAATAGAAACGACAATTCGGATAGGATTTCGAAATCCGACATTGCAACTGTCAAGGCGGGAATTTTCACTGACACTAATCGAAAATAACAGAATCAAGTAGACTATAGACAAGAAATCACTGACACTAATACAGACTCAATTATACACATTTGTAAACCTGTGTCTTCAATCAGAACCGAACAGATTGAATCGAAAATACACATACTAATCGAAAACAACATAAACAAGTAGACTACCAAATCGAAAATAGTCTGAGAAAAAAAAAACAGGATCGACCACGGTCTGAGGAGAAAAGAGTTTAGGAAAAATACAGAATCGAGGACAATCGGAAAGTGTCTGAGTAAAAAAAACAAACAAACGGAAAGTGAGGAGGAAAGAAAGCGGAGGCCTGCGACCACAAAGAGTAGAAGAAGATGAAGAAATGAACCTGTAATCGAAGACGAACGGCGGTGGCCTGCGGTA